TATAAAAATCTTTTCCAGTTTTACTTTAAGTAACTACCTTCAAAAGAATTTAATAAACTAATAAATATTTGAATTTCAAAATATCTCATCATTAATGGACCATAAGTTGGAGTCATTTTTGTTCCTATTGACGTTCAGAGATTAAATTATATATATTACTTTTACAAACAAAGTAAAAATTACTTAAAATAAGGTTTAAACCTCCACTTATCACTTCTTTATTGAAAAGTGGATGTAATAAATCTGGATATTTATCTAAATAATATACCATATTCATGTTTAATACTTGAATAAAAAGAAACAACATGTAATGATATTAAAATAATGCTTACCAATTTTCTCTGGTAAGTGATTAATATAACTCAGTATAATCTCTTATATAACTTTGTACTTTAGATTTACATGTTTTTAGAATTATGTCCATAATAGAGCTCAATGGCTCAATTACCTTGGTTTTTCTTTCACCTATAACTGGTATTCTAGACAATTTTGGAGAATTCTTTATCGAAACATATTCAACCTTCTCTTTTTCTAAAATTTCTTTACTTTTATGAATTTTGGGTAATACATAAAATATTCCTAGTTTATTATTACTCAACAAATAACTGTTTTCTTTCTTTTAAATTTTAGATTTATTATTTTACTTTATTAATAAATTTTGGAATATGTTTGGAGAACATATCTTTATGAGTTTCTTTATCATTTAAATGTTTTAAAACCATATAATCATGATACTCTTGATACATGATAAAAACTATCTTTATCACTTCTTTGGACGAAAACCTCTTCCATGTCATTAGTTTTTCTGTTTTTAATCGAGTCAGTTAGAAATGTCTCACTTATTACTTAATAGTTAAGTAAAAGCTGTATGGTTTCACATATACTTAACGAACTCGACAACTTCAGCAAATTAGAAATGTAGAATGTAATTTGTTATTTCAATATAATGCTATGCATAAACAGTTTAGCCCCCCCCTTCAGATTAGAAAGTTGTTTTTGGTCATATCCATTTCATGTTAATATTCCTGTTGTTAATGTTTCCTGTATACATATTTATAACGCTCTGCAAGTTCTTTTTTTTTTTCAGAAGAAATACTTTCACCATCTTTAGTTAAGAATTACACTCATTCATGACGAAATCATAGGAATCAAATAATGATTGCAGTCGGTGGTTATGTTAGTAACTAAAGTAGTATATCGTACAGCCACAGTATTCAAATAATAACAACAAAATTGGGTTATGAAAAACTCAATACGACAACGTTAAAATTTTAACAATACTTTAAAAAAATCATTATCAAAGGAACCAAGCCCTATCTAACAACTTTTACGGGTTTCAGTGGATTATATACTCACCATTATCAGGACAGGAACAACAGTGAAAAACCGTACTGTACTGTTGTATACCTTTCTAAAATTTTACATAATGGCAAAAAACAAATCGGTCAATCAATTAGAATGAATGGTGCTGCCACCTATTTATCTTTCTTTTAATATAATTTCAAAAAATAGACTTATTAACCGCTGAACCCGATTTTATATACAAAAGTAAGTTTGAGACCATATATATTTCTAATGATTTATTTAGATCGTTCTTATTATTCGAGTATTTAATATTATTCAATTTAACACCGTGATAATTGTGTTTGTTTGAGAGTAAAGCCACACTGCTGTGTCCACCGCGGGGAATTGAATCTCAGGATTTTTGCGTTTTAAGTCCGTACTTTTACCAATGTCCCGCCGGGGGAAATAATGCGAGAGAGAGTATTTATTATTCGCTATATTTACAACTAACGCCGACTCATTTATTTTCCGTTTTGTTACAACCGATTTATATACATTATATCCAATTAATGTCGCGTTTTGGAACACTTTCATTAACCACCCCCAAAAAATGTACATCACGTATAATAGTTAAATGAACCGCCTAAATGTCACGTTAGTGTAGCCTATATAATGTGTAAAGTTTAGTATACTCTAATCCCTT